AAAAAAAAAAAAAAATAAAGAGGCACGTGTACCTCTCCCATCTATGTATGCCTCCTCATGCTCTCCACAAGTCACCAGTTCGAGTACATCCAAGACTACCATGAATTTTCAAGCCGTTATCCAGGATTCTATGAGATCAATTGAGATGTGTCAGGTTGGGTTCAGCTTCAAAATTGTACCAGAGCGTCAATCATTTTCATTTGCTTCCACCCACTGTCTCTAACTGTAACGACCATTAATTTATTCGGTTAAATGTCCCATCTGGTGCTTCATGCTCATCAGAAATCTTTCAAGCATTACCTCATCTGAAGAAAGCATATGGTGATAACATGCATAGGGTATTGCAAATTATTAAAAGAAGAGGACCCTAAAGCATGGGGTTTGGAGCCGTACGACTCAGATGACAATGATGCAAACTGTTTAAATCTTATACGTAAAGGCTCTGTTGGTATAGCTAATATCAAGTTTCCTCTCCTTTACAAGTCAAGATCATTTTCACTTGTCATGGTGTCAGATGCATTCGATTACTTGTCTCCAAAGCACCTCGACTCTACTCTTCTAGAATTATCAATAGTGTCTGCAGACGGGATAGTTGTTCTTTCTGGTAATTAATATATGTTTGTGTTTATGTTCTTAAACCATCAAGTACTTCATGTACACATGTATTAATGAATATAGTCCTCGGGGCGTTTACATCAACACAAAGTGGGTAAACTCTAAACGGGTAAATGAAGAGTTAAAGTGGCAGAGCTGTCCAAGTTCGGTCGCACTACAAGTCCTGAAGTAGTTATCTTGTGTTTTTAAGTTTTGTGCAACTTTTCAACACATGATGCAAAAATTATCAGCTATATCATGACGAATTATAACATATCTCCACCCCCTATTATTACAGTTGTTGACTTTTATATTGATGTGGCTTTACTTGCTTTAATCTTAGCACGACACTTTTTTTTTCTCAAGTTTTCTTGCTAAGATCATCGATGTGTGTTATCATCATTAGAAACAAATTACAAGCTTCTGATTCAGGTTTGCAAGATTCCTTTATTCTCTTAATTGCATCTAGTCAAACGTTGCCAGTTTTAGGGACATGGGAAGTGAAACCGTAGCAATTTTTCCTACTCTCTTTCTTCCCCATTTGGGAGGAAACACGAATGATAATTTCCATCGTTTGAACACATGCAAAGGTTATTTCATTCATCTAATCAAACTCATATGCAAAATACAACATTGTTATGTGTTTTTTTTAGGGAAAATTGCACCAAAATGGAACCAACTTTCATCTGATTCCTATTTTGGGGAACCAACTTTCAAAATCGTCATTTTGGGGAACCAACTTTCACTTGATTTTTATTTTGGGGAACCAACTTTCATCTTATTCCTATTTTGGGGAACCAACTTTCAAAATCGTCATTTTGGGGAACCAACTTGGACCTGATTCCTATTTTGGGGAACCAACTTTCAAAATCGTCATTTTGGGGAACCAACTTGGACCTGATTCCTATTTTGAGGAACCAACTTTCAAAATCGTCATTTTAGGGAACCAACTTGCATCTGATTCCTATTTTGGGAAACCAACTTGCAAAATAATTATAGAAAAATAACTAAAATTCATTTCTTTTCAAAAATTAATGCAAKAAAATCTATTTTTCATTTCAAATCTWGTTTTTTTAAATTCAGATATCAAATTGAAGATTTTTCGAAAAAAATCCAAATTACCACGATAAAAATTGTTTTTTACTAATGCAATAAAAAAATCAATTTAATAAAAAAAAAATTAATTGATGCAATAAAAAATAAATATTAAATATCACATTTAAGATTTTTATATCTAACCAATTTGTGTCAATATTAAAGTTTAAATCAAATTTGGCAAATCCAACCAAAAATTTGATAGAGACCCTTAAATTATCTGTTACATGTTCAACAGATCAATCAGACCCTTAAATAAACAAAAAGTTCGATAGAGACCCCTAAATGACGATTTTAAAAGTTKGGTTCCCCAAAATAGGAATCAAGTGAAAGTTGGTTCCATTTTGGTGTAATTTTCCCATTTTTCTATAATTATTTTGCAAGTTGGTTCCCCAAAATAAGAATTAGGTGCAAGTTGGTTCCCCAAAATGACAATTTTGAAAGTTGGTTCCCCAAAATGGGAATCAGGTGAAAGTTGGTTCCCTAAAATGACGATTTTGAAAGTTCGTTCCCCAAAATAAGAATCATGTGAAAGTTGGTTCCATTTTGGTGCAATTTTCCCTTTTTTTTATTAACCTGGATATCCAACCCGCTATGCGAGTCGACTAATCCCAGGGCGATCACCTGCTTTGCAGATAGCCCGGAGTCACCGCATTTAAACCTCCGTGGCTACAAGGAGATTTTTATTTCTCCTTGGATTTGAACCTGGGACCTCCAAGTACTTTTGACCTTTGGAGCCAAGCTCAAACCAATCAGGCACCACCCTTTTAGTTAATCGTTATATGTTATAAAGCCTATTCAAATTGATATTTATAGGAAATTCTTGTCTCAGTTGAGGTAAGCTCAGTAGCTTTACAAAATAGAAAATATGAAGAATATTGTTATGAGATAGAAAAGTAGGAGAAAGTGATATTCAAATCAGATACTCTTAAAAGGAAACCAATTGGCATTTAAGAAAACTAGAAGGGTATTTGCGTAATGCAGCGAAATATATCTCGCTTTTAATATTTTGTTTTATTTATTCTCTGAATACGTTATAATACGGTTTTTATATGGTTTTGAGAAAGAGATAATGTTTTTATTTTTGAATAAAATATAAATTTAAATGTATCATAAAAATTCGAAAATAAATATATCAAATTAACTATTTAAAAGTTATTGGCTTTTATGTAATTTATTTAATTCAATTTTGTAATTATAATTTAGTTTAGATTTAATAACAAAATAATTTGTTTATGATTTAATAATATGATTTTTTATAAGAATAATAATTAAAAATTCTGTTATAACTCAATTATTATCCTAATTATATTTTAAAAAATTTATATTTAAAACAAGATATTTATCCGGAATTTGATTATGTTTATCTGCAGTTAGATATACGAATTCAAAGATGCAACTTTAATAAGTTGTACTTACGCATAATTTACTTGTAATGTTAAATTTTAAGTAATATGGATTAATAAACAGTACTTCATGCATAAATAATGTTTTTTAAGAGTTTTTGTCAAATGTTTTATAATATATTATAGATGATAAAAGGAAGAATAATAACAGATAGTCGGTCAAAATTCGGTTCTTGGAGTAGGTTTGGTTTGGAGGATTCTGATGGAATTGGAATGGTAGATTTCATTCCTATGAAATGTATTAGATATTTTAATAATATAATTCATACTGTATTTTCTAAAATGAAGAAACTGATGCAGATTGAATATAAATTTTCTTTAGATTTTGATTTTTAACTATTTATTTTAAAGAATCTGTTAAAAATGCTATTACAGATGTAGAAGGACTAAAAGTTAAAGGTTTTGGGTCAGAATGATTCACGGGAATAATAGAAATATTAGTGGGTGGTTTGACTTGAAGGTTATATTATAAGTTCCACTTGCGACTGCAGGCTTCCCTTTTGCTCCATGTGAATTTCTGAAAGTTAGCAATAATCAACGTCATGAAACATGGGTTAGGAGGGAATTGTTTGCACGGGCCCGTTTACCCAAATGCTTATTTAATAAGCGTTTATTGATAGGAGTCAATATTATAATTTATTTTGATATACAAGATTTTAGTACATCAAAATATATAGAATACAACAATTTACTGGGTAAGCGCTTACCTGGGTAAGAGTAGAGTCGGCATCCTCACTTATCGGGTAAGACTCTTCATCCTTCTCGTCGCTCTTACCCGGTAAGATTTTTGGCCATTGTCATGTTCATGCGATGAGAAGATTTATCCGTAAGCACTTACCAAGTAAGTGCTTAGTAAACGGCCCCTCACTACTATTACTATTACTAGACATGTGAATAGTTTAAATCAAACTAAACGAATCTAGTTGTCCACTTAAAATAAGGGATGCATAACTAGCTTCTACCTTAAAAAGGTAGAACAGTTATTTTTATGAAAACTCTTGACTTGTGCAAAAATACATTGGAAAATTTCAAATCATTCACAAAATCTACTCTTACTAAATATAAAATTAATGCTTAGGGTCTGTCTTGTTTGACATAGAAATTGACTTATTTAGTAAGCTTGTAAGAGAAAATTTTATACAGAAAATCAAGCCTCTTCCAAACTTATTCCTTCCAATTAAAAAAGACAGCTCCTGAAAACCCCCTCCCAAACAAAAATCTCCCTAATCTTTACAAGCATATTAATCTACACAGACAATTTTATCCATACAAGACTTAAAGAAAAACCAATAAAAACAATCCCTCAATGTGGTCCGTCTGTACCTCCGTGTTCATATTTTGGTTGGACGTCTGATAGGTTCTCGATTATTTAGTTACTTTTAAGATGATCCATGTTGAACTTTTACGTGTACTTTTTTTATGGTCTCGAGATACTCTAAATAGGTTCTCCTCGATGATATGGATATTTATTCGGGGGCCATCATGTACTTCTTCATTTATTTATTCAATGGTCACGATGGTTTTTGATACTGTCTCGATAAATAACATATGCATTCAATAAACAATACTTCATGCATAAAAAATGGTTTTTAAGAGCTTTTGTCAAATGTTTTATAATACAGTATATATAAGTTGATAAAAAGGACAAAAGAAAAGAGTCCAAATATCAATTCTATATAAATAGCAACAAGCCAACAAGTAATGCCATTGCTCTTGTGCTCCATTTGCACCAAAACAAAATGGAGCTAATTAGGATCAAATCGTTAGCCATTTTTCTCTTTATGCTCTCATGGTTCACACATCTCCCCTTGGGTCTAGCCTTCCTACCTCCCAACAAAGACATGGGCTTAGACTTCCTCGTTCCACACAACAAGGCTCGAGCCCAGGTCGGGGTGCAACCCCTCACGTGGAACACGACCCTAGCAACCTATGCTCGTGGGTATGCATACCATAGACTTGGTGATTGTGACTTGCGCCACTCCGAAGGGCCTTTCGGGGAAAACCTGGCTGAAGGTTATGGTGACCAATTCACTGCAACTGATGCTGTCAATATGTGGGTTGGGGAGAAACCATACTACGAGTATGTATCAAATTCATGTGTCGGTGATGAGTGCCGTCACTACACGCAAGTGGTGTGGCACGATTCTACTCAGCTCGGGTGTGCTAAGGTTAAGTGTCGTAATAGTTGGTGGTTTGTGATATGCAGTTATGATCCCCCAGGGAATTATGAGGGCCAACGTCCGTATTAAATAAATCAATGTCTTTTGTAAGAACATCGATTTACAATTATATGACAACTTGTATTGTACAAAATGATTGAATAATTGTCTTTTGCTTTGGCCGAAATGCACTAATTAATGTGATTTTGTTTTGTCTCTATTTGTTGTGCATCTTTTATCTTAAATGAGATTTATATTAATATTTATTAGTTTATATATATATAAGGAGAGAGAGACTTAGGATCATGTGAGACTAAAGGTTTTCGTGAGACCCGTAAGACCAATTCCCAACCATTGGATTAGATCTACAATCTCAACATTCATAATCACAAAATTGCTACGAGATTTCTCAATAATTACAAAATTGTCACCGTACAACTTTAGACCATTAGATCATTAGCTTATAAAGTTGATCAATGAACATAAATTGGTCTCACGGGTCTCAAGAAAAATCCTTGGTATCACGTGAACCCAACCATATATATATACTAGAAGCGTACTCACGCAATGCAGCGAGATACATCATAATTTTAATATTTCATTTTATTATTTATCTCAGTCGATGTTATAATATGGCTTTATGTGATTTTGAGAAAGCGATGCTGTTTTTATTTTTGAATAAAATATATGTTTGAATATATCATAAAAATTTGACAAAAATATATCGATATTAGTATCAAA